AACCACAGCTCTTCAATGGTCTCCCAGGCACCCCTCCCCTCCTCCTCCTGGGGCTCTTCCAGGACTCCCTGACCCCTGCCGTCTGTCCTGGAGCTCAGCCAGACTCAGCTGACCCTTTCCCCTCTTCCAGCCTCTCCCTGCCTGCTCCCTGGGCCTGCCCTGGTAAGAGGCTTATCAGGCATGTGGGGGGGACAGATAAGGCAAGGCCCCGAACACGGCTTTATCCGATCCCGCCATCCCGAGCTGCTGGGAGTTGGGGGAGTTGCCAGCAGATGGAACCCCACCCACCCAGGCAGCCGGACAGCACCCACACCCAGAGCCTGTGTCCCTCCCTGCCATGTCATAGCTCCCTGTGATGTCATCATTTGCAGTGACATCATTGCTCCGTCCCTCCTTCAAGTCTAAGGGGGCCACTGAGATGCGAGTTGGGGAAGCAGAGTCCGACAAGAGTCCTAGCCAGGCTCCAGGTCAGCAGGGTGGGTTGGGCTGGTCTGGGAAGAGAGGGTGGTGTCCCGGGATCCTCCTGAGGGTGGGTGGCTATTTTTGGCATTGGCTGCTTCACTTTTAGCCACCGCTCTTCCTGCCTTCTCGATCCAGACAGGCTCTGGGTCCAGCAGGGGCGGGAGCAGTGGGGGCAATCTCTAGGCCCACTGCAGGGTGGCTCTGGGTATCACCTCTAGCTCTTCACCAGCGCCCTGCTCCCCACAGGGAGGCCTGCTTGTGGGGCACAGGGGCCTTGCACCACTTCCCTTGGGCAGCAGTGAAGCAGGGAGGGACTGTAACGGATGGCCAGACAGACGGACATAGCCAGCCCCTGTTCTGAGAGTCACCTGCTGACACAGTTTATGTTCACAGCCTCTCACCAACACCATGACAGGCCGACCGACAGCTGTCGCATCTCACAGCCATGCCCTCGGCCACATGGGCCACAGATGGTGACCCACACCAACGCACTGGCACAAGCACATCGTCATACATCCCATATCGAGAGCAGGGACCCCTTTTCTCTCATGACTCTATTCCTAGAGATTAGCCAGTTCCCAGAGGACGCACACTCTTATGTGGTGAGTAAATGGACGCTGGATTATAAAGGCCCTGTGACTGGGAAAGCCATCCCTCCTGCTGCCCCTCTTGACCTCTCCAGACCCAAGATGGGGGCATCAGGGAAGCATTACTGCTGTTTCCACCACCACTGGCCCCAACTTCAGTGACAGCCACTCCCCAGGTTATACCAGTCTCTGGAGGGCCCTGGGCCATGTAGGCCCACTGCTCCTCCCCTTTGGGTGTGTTCCGGTGGGTTGGGACATTGGCGCTCAAAATTGGATATTAGGAATGTTGGGTGGTCTAGATGTTGGGTACCCTGGGCATGAGACCCCCTGGTATTGGACCCACGAGGCTCTGGGAATTGAGAACTCTGAGTTTGGGTTCTCTATGGTGTTGGGAGCTCCGGCACCCTTGGCATTGGGGATTCTGAATTTGGGGAGCTCTATGGTGTTTCAGAATCAGAGCTTTGCATGCTCTGGACATTGGGGCTACCCCCCAGACAGGGCCAAAGCCAACGTTTCCAATCTATAGGCCTAATTTCACCCAGAGCTGCTACGATCCAGCCTGGCACCCTGCTCTGAGCCCATGATTGGCTCGTACTGCCCCCATGGACCAGGGCCAGAGGCAGCACAACAGAACAGTCTGAGGGACACATGGAACCCCACAGACATGGATCCCCCCTGGATCGGAAGCCAATTTGGAGGTGCCAGGCACCGACCACTGGGCTCCAAGTTCAAGGGAGAAAGAATCTGAGAGCAGAGCCCATGCAGGCCACTCCCAGTAATCCTGCCCTGCCTCTGAGGCTGGGACTCCAAGGAGGTGGAGGCCAATGGTCGGGCCAGGCTGCAGCTCAAAACAGTGTCCACCCTCCCCCGACGTCTCGGCAGGGCCCCTCTGCACCCCTCCACCAACTCCCCAATGCCACCAGCTCCTTCAGTGCCCTTCAGAAGTGGCCCAAGTGTGGCCTTATTCCTGTCGCCGCACACATACACCTAAGCCAACTCTGTGTGTCCCAACAGAGGCCTTGATCCTGCGGGCTGACGACAACAAAGGAGGAAACCAGCCAGCACTGGGGGATCTGACGCTGGGTGCAGCCTTCCCAGGAAATGGCACAATAACTGGAGGCTTGGGAGACACACCTTAGCCCACAGTGGGTGGGGCCCTCCACCGCCTGCCCTCTTGCCGCCCTGGCCCCGGAAGAAGCAGGTCAGCAGGTCCTCTGACCCCTTCTGTCCTCCTGTCTGTCCCAGGCCTGATTCCCCACTCTCCTGACAGTGGCCCAGGCTTAGCCATGCCCTTCCCACTCTGTGGGCCAGCTGCCCCGGGCCAGGAGCTCACAGCCAGGGACAAGGCCATCCCAGTTTCTGACCTGGGCTCGGCCCAGACCTGCCTCCCTTGGGGCCTCATTCTAGTTGGAAAAAAAAAAAGCCAAAAAAAAAAAAAAAAAAACCAACAATAGCGGCTCTCCTCCCTGTCTCACGGAGCTGGCTTTTTTTTTTTTTTTTTTTTTAGTTGGCTTTTCAAACCAAAATCTTTCTCAAGTTTCTCCTCAGGATTCAACTCACTGTATAGCTGCCTGAAGTCCTTTCTAGATCAAGGTGGGTAAAATGCACACATCCATGAATCTCTCTACATGTGTACAAATATATTTTGTGTTATGTCATCTCTGTCTAGCAAAACCCTCAAGAGCAAATTTCCAACTTCCCTAAACACCCCAGGGAAAATCTTTTCTCCCCAACCCATGGACTAAGGTGATGACTGCCTCCTTGCCTTGGATTCATGCCAAACTATCTTCCAGATAAGGCCTCAGAGAGCTAAACCCTGAGCACCCCACCCTCCCCTGCCCCCAGCCCCCAGGGCCCCAGGGCTTCCTGGGCATCTGGCTCTGAGTATCCCGACCTCCCTTCACATGGATGCCTTAGTGTGAGGTAGGAAGTCCCGGTTTCCTTGGGTCACAATAATCATCAGAAACTTCACTGATAGGCTTGGGCTTCTCTTCCTGTGCCCCTTTACCCTCTGTCTATTGCTTCAAGAGAGAAGGAGGCCATCGTCCTGCCCTCTCACACACTTCCTTGTCCCCACTCCCTACCGGTGGCCTTTTCTTTCTTTTTTTTTTTTATTTTAAGATTTTATTTATTTATTTATTTATTTATTTATTTATTTATTTATTCATTCATTCATTCATTCATTCATGAGAGAGAGAGGCAGAGGGAGAAGCAGGCTCCCAGCAGGGAGCCCAATGCAGGACTGGATCCCAGGACCCCGGGATCACGACTGGAGCCAAAGGCAGAAGCTCAACCACTGAGCCACCCAGGTGCCCCTGGGGGCTTCTTCCAAGAGCCTCCACTCTGCCTTCCCCAACTGGTAGCCCTTTTTGACAAGCTTCAGGGGAGAGGGAGGAAGACCAGAAACAGAATTTATGTCCTAGGCCAGAGGGTCAAGGAGGGCTTGGATTAGATGTGCCCGTCCCCAGAGTTGGGGACACCCCCACACTGCTACACAGAGCTGCTGCAGTGTGCCCACAGACACTTCTCCAGAAACGCAGATCCACCTGCACAAATCCACAGGGGCAGGGGCATGACGACTGCCCCGGTAGAGGCACACTCAGCGCACACATGCACAAGACACCTGCGATTCGTTCATGGGAGAGTATAACTCCCAAACATACTATACCTGCTAGGTTTGGGAACAAAGTAAAAATGCAAATAATCTTGTGATGAGATAGTCTTTCCAGATCTAATCAGGTCTCCCAATGTAAATAGGTTGTAAGTTCAGAGCCTAGGGCCCTGGGGAAAGTCTGTGAAATGGGCTGTGTGCGGCCTGAGAGCGCTCCTGTGGTCAGGAAATGTCTGTGCCTGATACCTATTATCTTGCTCAGTGCCTCTGATTGTAAATTAATAAAGTGGAATCTCACTTGTGTGACTTTGGTGTGTGTGCATCAGCTTCTTGGAGGCTGACTGTCCCCAGGGAATAAAGCCAGTCTCCTGACCAGACAACAGTGAGGAATCGAGTCCAGGTACAGAGGGGGCACTATCTCTCCGGGCTGGGTCCCTTCCAGGCAGATGCCTCACTCACGCTGGGCCAATACCTGTTTCTCTGACAGCCAGCACCAACTAGTGGCTCTTGCTACACTACGTAAGCAAACTCTGCGCCAACTGCCAGGCATTGCTGCCCAGGGAGGCGTCTGGAACAACGTGTCTTAGCTCATCCTCTCCATTTCACAGGGGAGGAAACTGAGGCTCAGCACACTGCTTTTGGCAAAGTCTCCTTTATCTAGTATTGGACCCGGGTCTGTCCCCTCAGGGAGGGAATAAGGGACCCAGGTTGGTGTCTGCAGTCCCGTAACACAGCAGCAGAGTAGGGCTGCCCAAACCAGCGGTCCAAGGAGCATCCCTGGAGGAAGGATTACCCCCTAGACCTCCAGTTCCAAGGATCAGGACCGGAGCCTTACCCAGCTGTGCCCAGAGTCCCTAGAGGCACCGCTCCAAAGGGAATGGAATTTGCTCTGGCTTCTCCCCGGGGGGGAACGCAGGCGCAGAAGCCCAGGGGCCTGGAGGGCCAGCTCCAGCCCCAGCCCCCCGAAGTGCCCCAGGTCTTCTGGCGTCACTCCAGCCTAGTCCGAAGTGGGCAACGACAACTGCTTCCTCCAAGGGCCCCAGGCGGCGGGCAGCCAGGCCAGGGCGAAGAAGGGGGGTTCCTTTGCGGAGCCCACTCCCAGGGGTTCCTGAGGATCAATCATCCGAAAGCTGGAGAGCCTTGTAATTTTATTCCCTGGGAGGAGGAGCCTGAGAAGTCGGCCAGTGGGGTGGGGATGAAACGGGGAAGCGGGGGGGGGGGGGGTGGGGGGGTGGGGGGAGTGGGGGGAGAGAGCAGCCAGGGGAGCCGTTCAGGGAGGGGAGGGACTTGGCTAGGTCTCCCAAGCCTTCTCCACTCTCCAAACTTTCACCAAACTCTTGGCCCCCGCCTCCCCGAAACCAAAACACAACAAGCTCCGGAGGAGCCTCGAGCGGCGCGGCGGGGCGGGCGGACTCGCGGCGGCTCTGAGCCTCGGGAGGCTGATGCAACTTTCCGTTTAAGAAAGCCACCTGGGCGCACCGCGGTGCGGACCCAGCGCGCCCGGCCGGGGGCTGCAGCATGGTAAGGGGCTCGGGGAGGGCCGCGCCGAGCCCGCGCCTCTGTCGGTCCTGCCGTGCGTCTGGGTTCGGTGGCTCCGCGGGGCTAAGCCCCGGGAGCAGCGGGCAGCAGTGTGTGTGCGTGTGTCTGCGTGTGCGATCGCGCTTGCATGCGGGCATCCGTGGGGGAGAGTGTGGGCGCACGCACGAGGGTGTCTGTCTCGCCGCAGAGATCGGGGTAGGTGCGCGCGTCCGGGTGTCACCGCTGTCACCAAGGAGCTCCAGCGGGCGAGGCCGGGGGGGCGCGCTCCCGAAGCGGGGGGGCGCTGCGTGCCGACGCCGGGGCGGTCGGGGGCGGCGGGCGCGGGGCTGTGCGGGCAGCGCGGGAGCCGAGCCGCCCCGGTCCGTCTGGGGCGCCAGCGGGTCTGCGCGCCGGGGGCCTGCGGCCGGCTCTGCGCCCCCGTGCGGGCTCCCGCTCCGCCCGTCCGCGCCCCGCAGGCCCCGCCGCCTCTCGGCCCCTCCGGCCGGCCTGCCTCCCTTCCCGCCCGCCCACCCGCCCGCAGGGTCCGGGTTCCCGCGCGCCCGCGGGTGCCGGGGAGCCGCGCAGGGGTCCCCGCGCCTCGGGATCTCTGTCCGCGCCCCCCCTCCCCCGGGCCCCCGCGTTGGGCAGGGACTGCGGCCGTGGAGTTCCTTGGGGGCCGCTACTCCGGGGAAAATCCGCGCCCTCCCTGCCCAGCCTCCACTCGGGCGCGTGCGGGGCGGGCCCGGGCGGCCACAGGTGAGGCCGGGGGCCCGCAGCCGGGCGCGCACCCCCAGCCGGCGCCCCGCACCCCGCAGCCGCCGCGGGCGCTGGAAGGCGGCGGGGCCCGCGCGGGCCGGGAGGGGGCTAGCGGGGCGGGGCGGGCCGGGAGGGGCCGGAGCCGGCCTGGGGGCGGGGCGAGGGGGCGGGGACCTCGGCGCCCCGGTACTTTTCCACCGCTGGGGCCGGGGGCGGGGCCGCCGCCTCCACACCAGCTGAGAGGCCCACACGTGGCGGCTGATGTAACACCGCCCCCAACACCTCGCACCCCGATTAGAGCGGGCGCACCCCGCTTCGAGGAACCGGGGTGCTACGGGCGGTGCCGCAGCTCCAAAGGCGACCGCGCCCCTGCCTGCCGGCCGGGGGCCTCCTCGCGGTCCGCCGGCTGCTTCTTAAAGGAGCCGCGCCCCCTTTCGGGCCTGCTCCCCGCAGGCCACGCCCCCTCGCCGCTCACTCTTAAAGGAGCCGCGTCCCCGGCTCTGACAGCTCCAAGCACAAAGCCCGGCTCTATTTCTATGTTGGAACAAGCTTGAAGCTGCGGTTGCTAGAAGATAAAGGCTGAGGTGGAGGTGGGGGGCCCGGGGGGGGCGGGGAGTGGAAAAGGAAAGAAGGACGTGAGAAGTCCAGAGTGAGGGTGCATCGGAAGGTTGGAGAATAGTGGGTGAGGGAACTGGTTCTAGGAAGGGACCAATGGGCGGCACTGAGCATGCCCGAGTGTTTCCAAGGACCGCAGAGAAAACGCCCCCTTACTCGGCCTACACTGCGACTGCGGCGGTGCCCGCTCAGTGCCCAGCCCCGGGGACAGAGAAGAATCTCACGTTTGCCCTGGAAGAGCTCTCCAGGGCGTGGGGAGCCAGATCTGGGCACCGATGACCATGCCGCAGCACTGTATGTGACGGGCGTGTTAATCAGATGTACTCAGCGTGCTGTGGGGGTACGGGGGAAAGGTGACAGCAATTGGAGGAGGTAGGTAGGCTTCTTGAAGAGAATGCCATTGGGACGTGGCATTGAAGCTGGGTAGGATATGTACAGATGGAAATGGGGGCAAGGATGCTCAAGGAAGAGGGAGCCTCCTGCACAAACGCGGAGGCAAGAAGCCCTGGGAATGCTGGAGAGTCCCGCATGGCCACAGGTGGCTGCAGGTAGCTGACCTGGGCTCCAGGCAAAACTAGAAGCCCTCCCCTGCTTCCACAGCCCCTCCACTCCCTCGGTCACAGTGAAAAGAGTGTATGCTTCCTCCCCTCTCGCCTTAACTGTGAGGTCCTTTTTTCTTTCTTTTTTTTTAACTGTGAGGTCCTTGAAGACAGGGGAAGAGCCTGTCACCTTTCCATTCCCAGAGAGGACCCCAGGGCTTGGCTCAGATGGACCCTTACAATTGACTGACAGCCCCGTTTGGGAGAAGGAAGGACAGAGCAATGAGAGGGTAGAGGTAGTGGGGGTCCTGCGCATCCCCTCTCACCATCCACCCTTGAGCGGCTCGCAGGCCAGCTCACGCCCAGCTGGCCCTCTCCTCACTCCAAACCTGTTGCACCCCCACACTCCTGTCCTTGGGCCTGGCCCTGGCTTCTTCCTGTTGCACCAGCAGAAACCAGACACCCCTGTTTGTCCCTCACCTCTTGTGCAGCTCATCACGGAGTCCTGCCAGTGTTGCCTTCTCTATTTTTCTCAGGTCTGTATACCTCTCCCCATCCTATGGCCACCTTCCCGGTCTCTACCTTCTCCTCCCCTGCCTGGCCTCTTCCTGACTGACTTCTTTTCCACTAACCCCTCCCTCCAGTCCTTTCTCCACACTGTGTCTAGGGTGATGTTTTCAAAATGTGCATTCCACTAGTTGCTCCTGCCAGGTACAACTCTGCCTTAAAAGCCTTTGATCACGGCCATTGCCCTCAGGATAAAAACCAAAATCCAGGTCCCAAAGGCCCTGACCCTGCTTATCTGTCCACCTTCATCTTTGGTCACTGTCTCCCTGGTGATCTGAACCCAGCCTCAGGGTCTTTGCACATACTACTTCATTTGCTTGGATCTCCCTTCCTGTTCTCTTCCTCACTATTGCCACTTTGCCTAGAGTAATCCCTCTGACCCTATAACATCGCTTCCTCAGGAAAGCCCTCTGTGGCTATCAGACAAGGCCAGGTCCCCCTGCTCTAGACTCTCATAGAAGGATCTTTCTCCTTCACACCCTTTATCTCAGTCTTTGATTGTCTGCCTCTGAGTCATGAGTTTCCCCCAGCCTGTAAGATGCAGGAGGGCAGAGACCAATGACTTCTTGCTGCCCAGCACCAGTCTGGCCCAGAGCAAGCCTGAAATAAATATTTGTGGAATAAATGAATTGTGGCCAGCCTTTAATGCCTGCTAAATGATCTAGGCCATGTCCTGTTGTCTGTGGAGAACAATGAGGGGGAATTGGGGCCTTAGGGCTTTGGGAAAATTAATGGACTGGGAGGTGGGGACTTGCAGGAGAGTCCAAAATAAAGCAGAAACTTCAGAATTTACAAAGGAACGGTTACTAGCCCCATCTTCCAGATTGAGTAAACTGAGGCTCGGAGAAGTTAAGTAACTTGCTTGAAGTCACATACAGAGTGAGCGGCAGAAGCAGAATTCCAGGCCAGGCCTACCAGAGCCCAGAGCCCAAGCTCTCCGCTCTCCTTCACGTGCTGAGCCCACAGCTTGCCAGTGGTAGTCCGTATGGGGACCACTTTTGAATGGTTGGATGGGGCCATTTAACAGAAATGGCAGAGGCAGGAGAGGCAGCAAAGCTTTATACCCAACTCATTCATTCTCCTGGAGGCCACCACCAGGCAGTCTTTGGGTCACTAACCAGTAAACGCTTTAAGCACAAGGACTGTATTTGCAGTAAGTATTCAGGGATAACCTGAGTGAGAACACTCTGGAGCCTAAGTCCCTGGGCAGAGTGCCCTCAGTTTACTTACCTAACCAGGGGGCATAAGAGTGACCAACCCACGAGGTGGCTCTTAATAATGCCATCTGCTGTTATTACTGTTTGTTGGCTGAAGAGGGACAGCTTTGGGGAAGTCACATGGAGAGTTTACGGCTTAGGGAGAGGTGCAGTGAGTGAAGACAAGACTGTGATCTTCTAAGGGAGCACAAACCGCCCCTTCTCCTGGCTGCCCCCAGGAGACCAAAACCATGCACAGGGACCTCTTTAGGAGGACTCCTTTGAGAGGCAGAGAGACCAACCTGGGTGAGTGACAAAAGGGAAATGGTTACAGGTCACATCTGCGCCTGCCTCTGCCCCGGGAGAGGGACCCTGAGTGGCCAGGGCCAAGTCCTAAGGAAGCCAAGGGCTGATTTTCATAGGCGAGGTGCTCCTTCCTGGTCTCTTCTGGCCTTCTACTACCTTCCTGGGCCTAGAGGAGAGAGGCGGCCCTTTACAGGAGGCCGTGGGTGGGGCAGAGTGGCACAGAACAGCCTTTGGAGTAGAGTCTGCTCCCTGGGAGGGGAGAGAAGGCCTCAGAAGCCGAGCCCAGTCCCTCCAGGGACCAGGCACAATGGAAGTTGAACAACCTTGTCCACCGAATGCAGGGTTTCCCTCCCATGAGAGAATTCTTTGAGGCTCCCTGAAGGTGGAATCCTCTCCTGAGGCCTGTCAAAAACTACCCTCTATTCCATCTGGGTCTGACATTAAACCTGGATACACCAGTTTGGTGGTGCGGCCACTCCTTCCATTTGTCTGCTGCCTTCTCCAGCTCGGCAGGCCCACACTGCATCTCAGAAGCTTCCCACAAGATCTCTGGCTGACCTGGACCATCATTCCAGGACCTCAGTCTTACCCATTACCCTTCCATTCAAGTCAAGCAAGACTTCCTGAAAGCACGTACGGGGCAAGGTGCAGGCGTAGAGGATAAATGAAACACGGACCCAACCCTCAACCCGCAGACTCATGGTTGATGGACATAAGCAAATAAGTCTAGAATGAGTTGATAAGGACACTAGTAGAAATCTGCCAAAAAAAGAAAGGAGGAAGCAATTTGTTCACGCCAGCTGGGGAGAGTGCCAGGAAAGGCCACAGAGAAGAGGTGACATTTAAGCATGGTCCTAAAGGATTTGCAGAACTTTACGGGGTGAGCAGGAGGGAAGATGTTGCTGGCAGGGGACAGCCTGAGCCAACGGAAGGGGGGCAGTCCCGTGCACGGTGTGTTTGGTGTTCACAGGGCTTATGGTCCAGGTTAGTGACAAAACAACATGTCCAGATGCCCTGGAGCCCAAGCCGAGCGGCGCCAGGATGAGGAAGCACTGTCCTGGCTACCCGGCTGGGGTGACGATGGGGAGCGTGCACTGACCCCAACGGACTCCCCTTCAGGAGAAAGGTTGAAGCCATCCACACAGATGATGAAGGAATTGGACCCTGTCCCAGTTCTGTGTTCATTTTTTAATCTTTTATAGAATTGGGCATCTGGAGAGTCAAAAATAGACCTTTGCCCATTGGGACAGGAAGCCTGGAGACCAAGGGATCCAGGGGAAGGGTTGGAAGAAGGGCTATGAGGGAGCTGATTGAGGGGCATCCAAAGAGGACAAAGATGGGAAAGCCCCTGGCAGAGGGTGGGGTGGCCTGGGTGGGGCAGGAGCCTGGCAGGGACTGTCCTGGAGCACCCTGAGGGCCACACCTGGCCTGCCCTCACCTTCCCCGGCCAGGTTCCCACCCTGCTCTCTGCTCTCTCTACAGATCTTGAGATCTGTGGTCTGAAAGGTGCTGGAAGCGGAGCCTGTGAGTGCGGTCCAGGACTCCGGAGTCCCCCAGCCTGCTGCTGCCATGGTAGGAAAAGGTGCCAAAGGGATGCTGGTGAGTACAGGAACCAGACTGCAGGGAGGAAGGGGGGATGGCCCCTCTGAGGCCTTCTGCCGGCTGCTTGCCATGGTAGGAGGGCCTAGGAGGCTTCTTGGGACTCTGAGTCTGGCTTTCCCCGGGCTCCTGAGTGCTGGGGCTGTCCCAGGCCCCAGGCAGGCAGCCTCTTGCCCAACAGGTTAGATGGTGCTGCAGCTCGGAGCCCAGAACGGGGCAGAGTCTGCTCCAGAGCCCACAGAGGCCACAGGGGCAGGAGCACACTTCCCATCCCCATCACAAGAGATGCTCGGGAGGGGCTGCAACTGGTCCTGCTGGGAGGCCAGTAGGACCCATGGTTGGCACCCTGGCACCCCCCCTGCACCCCATGCTCTGCCTGCAGCAGGAGGTATTCAGTACGTGCTAATCAAGGGGTCTCCAAACCTGTCTGGTTCTCCTCTACTTCCCTGGTTCCTTCTCACTCTGAAAAGTAACAACATTTCCTCCTCTGAGGCCTCGGAAAACTTCCCTCTCCTCCTTCCCCAAGCCATGGCCCTTCCTTTGCCCGCTGCCCCGGAGCACAGGAGAGTTGGTAGAGAGGCACCGTGAGGAGCAAGGGCAAGAGCCGGGCCTGGTCAGGGCTTGAAGGAGGAAGACTACCTGACGGACAGAGCGGGTTGGCACTGGAAGCAGGAACCGGGACAAAGATGTCAGATCCTATCCCAAGAGCAGTGGTTGTATTTCTTCTCTTGGGATCTTGCCTCAGGGACAAGCTAGGCCGGGCAGCTGTCAGGGGAGGAAGCCGGTGACCACACAGCCCTTGCCTGGGCACCTCTCTTGCCCACATCAATTCCTTCTGTTGCATTTCTCATTCTGTTAAGGATTGTTTGGGCTGGGGTCTCTGCTGAGCTCCCCCACCCCCTAAATAGGCCCCATCTCTCACCAAGGATTTCTGGAACTCAGAGTACTTGGTCCAAAGGAATGGTTTGGGAGAGGGAGATGGGAGGTTTTGCTCCAGGGTAAGGACCCCCTATCCTGCCCCGTCCTGAACCTGTAGCATTCCGCCCCTCAGGCCTGCTCTGGCCCAGCTCCTACCTGGTTGGAACGAGCCTGAGTGAGCCAAGCTTCGGGAAGTATTCCTGAGCCAACCTGAACTCCAAGTGCTCATAAATGGGCAGAGGTAGACATCCCATGACCTGAACACTTGCTAGAGGTGATGCCGCAACACAGCCAAAAATGGGCTCCCTGTTCCCAGGGGAGGCTGGGAATCGCCACGGGCCTGTTGTCTGTGGGAAGCGGGGTGTGGCTCTGCCCACGCTACGTGGAGAGTCTGAGCCCCATGAAACCCAAGAAACCCCCCGAGTATTCCCTGGCTGCTCTTCTTCCTCGGGAGCGACCCGGGAAGGACTGGCACAGGCAAGCGGCCGAGGTGGGGAGTGTGGGGGCCAAGGGGGAGCGTGAATCACGAGGTCGGTGACCCGGCCCGGGGCTCCGCTTCCCGGACTTGGGCTCTGCGGGGCCAGCCTGTGTGCGGAAGGCAGCGCTGCCTTGGGACGCGCGTTCCCAGCCCCAGGATGTGCCTAAAGATAGCCGGGGCTTGGTTTCCTCCATGCCCTCTGCCCTTTGGCTTCTGCCTGCCACTGCTTGTTTGAGGCCCATAACATCTGTCCCCTGGGCCCCCCCGCCCCAGTGGTTGCTGGAGATTCTATTCCTGCCTCTTTCTCGGTTCTGCTGATGACCTTGGGCTACTCTATTCTCTGGCCCCAGTTTGGAACTGGAGCCACCTCCATTCAGTGCTCGTCTCTAGGAAACGGGCTCGGAGGAGCCCTAGCCCTCCTGGCTAACCTAGGCAGCTGAGCCAGCACTTTGTGAGGTACCTGTGCCCCCCTAAAGGCAAAGCGCTGAGGACACTCCTTCCAGATATGCCCTTCTCTCCGTGCCACGGTGGGGGTAGAAGAGAGGGTACTTGAGGGCCATGCATATAAGCCACGCGGACAGTCCGGGGCCTGTGGCTTCTTTGGCCATTTGTGCCCTGGTGTGTGGGGAGCGGACCGCTAGTCCCTGCCCTGGGCTGCCCCCCGCTCCCCGGGCTCTCTTGAGCATCCCCAGACACCCTGCGTCCATCTCGGAGCTCTTGCCCTGCTCTTCATGTGGCAGGCACCCCATGGAGAAGCGAGCCCCTTTGCAGCACGTGCCCAGGCCCACATGCCCGCTGCACATGTCCCTCCCCCCACTGCCGGCCCAGATGGTCTCCGCCAGGCCAGCTCAGCTGCCTCCCTCACGCCTCAGCAGCTCCTAGGACAGGGCCATGCAAGAACCCAGCTGGCCGGGGTGCCTCCAAGCCTGGGAGCAGCTGGGATGCTGGGGGGCACCAGGGGTGGGTGGGGTAATACTTCTCTACACGTGTGGGGTGGGGCTGCCTGAGGCTCGGAGGCCAGGGCACTGGAGGAGAGGAGCCCAGGGCCGGAGAGCCCCACTGGGTCAGCTTTAACCACACGGCCTCACAGCAAGGTCACAGGCTGGCTGATTCAGTCCCCTTCCCATGCCCGCTCCCCACTGGCAACAGAGTCTGGGGCAACAGAGGCCTTGGTGAGCCTCACTGGCCTCTCCCCATATCTTTGAGGACGCTGGTTGCTTCTGCCATTGGGAAACCTTGTGATGAATAAGAGCGGAGTCACCTGGGCTAGGACCCTGAGCGCCAGAGCATCTAAATCATCCCAGAAGGCTTTGTAAGCACCACAGGCCACCCCAGGCTGCCCCACCCTGACCTGTTGTATTACACTCTGATAGGAGGATGTGTACCCTCTTATCTGCACCATCCATTGCAGGGCCTGGCACACAGTGGGTGCTCACCCAGCCCACATCCTGGCAAGTGGCAAGTGCTCAACTAGTATGGGCTTGGCCATACTGGGAGCTCAACAAGCATAGGGTTTGGCACACACTGGGCGCTTCGCAGGTGAAGAGCCTGTCGACTATCAGGTACTCACCTAGCACAAGCCCCAGCACATGAGAAGTGCTCAACTAGTGCAGACTTGCACACGTTGGGCACTCCCTTAGTGTAGAGCCTGTCACACATCGGGTGCTCACCCAGCTCCAGGCTGGGGATTCGTTGGGTCTTCACCTGGCACAGAATTTGGCATATGTCGGCTGCTCATCTAGTGCAGGACCTAGCACACCGCGGGGGCTCACTGGCATTGGGCTGATACAAAGTGGGTGCCGTCTTAACACGAGCCCAGCACACTCAGACTTTGCGCACAGTGGGCACTCTGCTAACTCAGGTCTCTGCACCCTGCGGGAGCTTTCCAAACCCCAGTCCTGGTAGTACAGTGGGTGCTTTCCTAGCACAGAGTCTGGCACACAGCAGATTCTCTCCTAGCTCAGGGACCAGCACACAGTGGGCACTCTCGCTGTATAAGGCCTAGCACAGAAGAGGGGCTCCCTCAGCCGGGACAGCCTGAGCAATGACCTAGGTGACCGGCCAGGTGATTGGAGATGCACTACTACACCCTCCCAGTGAAAGGGACAATATCTAGATCCAGAGAAGGCCCAGCATTCTCAGACCTCCTCTCTGGACCTGAGACCGTGCCCTCCCTTCCCCTTTGGTCCCCATCCCCTCCTCACCTTCCCTGGAGTGCACCTGCTCAGTCCTGTGCCCTCCCCTCCCCTCACTCAGCTTCCCTGCAGGCCCCACCCCCCTCGGTCCTAGCTCAGCAGGACCTCCCCCCCTGGAGCCACAGGGCACAACAAAGCAACTAGATTCCTTGGTCCTCTGGAGGCATGCTCACTCTTATTAAGAAAAGTCAGAGGCAGGGGCTCAGGGAGTCGGCCTCCCAGAGTGGGGCTAGAGCAGCTGGATCCCACTAATGAGGCCTCATTACGGTCAGGGCCCAGCTGGGCTGCTGCCGCCTCCTGTCCCCATGGCCAGAGCCAGAGAAAGCCGTCCAGCCAGGGCTGCCTGTTCTGGGCACCCTGCCCAGGCCAGGGCAGTCAGAGCCCAGAGCCCACCCTGGGTGGAAGTGAGCATTTGGGCATCATGGGTGACTGGGCCTTCCTGAAGCCAGTGGCCCAGCCAGGGCCTTGGCCCACAGTCTGTGCGCGCAGGAAGTCAGCAGAGCGTGTCTGGGGACCTGGCTGCATGAGGCTGGCCCGGTGAGAGGCTGAGTCAGTGGGGTCTGAGACCATTCCTAGGAGACTTGCTTGGGCCAAGGCTGATCTCCTTCTACCCCCCAAAATGAGGCTGATAATGTATCTACGTCAAGGCATTTGGGGGGTAGGATTAAATGAATTAATATGCATAAAGTGTTTAGGACAGTGTCTGGCTCATAGTAAGCACTTAACATGTATTATTAATATGTATTACTATTACTGCTGATTCTCACTAGAGTCGATGACGCTTATTTGAGAGACGAAGAAACTAAGACCAGACACGTTATGTGATTTGTCTAAGGCTTACATGGTGAGAAACTGGCAGTGCTGGGGTTTAAACCAGGCCTATCTGACTCTAGAGCCTGTGCCTTTTTTTTTTTTAAGTCATCCTAAAAAGAAAAAAAAAAAAAAAGCCATCCTGCCATGTTCCTTTTGAGGTCATCATACTTAACCAAACTCGCAGAAAAGCAAGCTTTACATCAGAATTCATGCATGCTTCCCATTGGTGGATGCTTACTAAGACCCTACCACGTACCAGGGCCTCCACCAATCTATTAATTTCCGGAATATTCATGCCCACCTTCCTGACCGCTGGTCTGTGGTATCTCAGCACCTGCTGGAGACCTGACTGGTGAGCGGGGCCTCAGAGAAGTGGGACTGGATGGGTCTGAGCGCCATCTCGCCCCAGTTATGGTGACACCTGCTGGTCTGAACCCAGCCCTGGGCCATGCAGTACAGATCTCCAGGGGTCCTTATTCCATGGCTGCGCCTCTGCCATCTGTGGTGACTCCATGGTGACCGCTCTCTTAGCTCGTGCCATCTTTCTTAGGCCAGGTGACAGTGCCATTCACCAGGCCAGGGCTTTCTTGCATGGT